AATATTAAAAGCCTTTAATTCTAGAATTTGTTTTTATTTCCATAAAGTGAGTTTTTATCATTTTAATAACAATACAGTTTGCTTTTGACATAAAGCTACAAATTCAGATGTCTCACACTAAATTTATCAACTAATACAGAACTGTGTGGCGTTTAAGTGGGAAACCTGAAAAGAAGATATAAATACTAACGCCAACAAAAGCATCATTCATAAGAAGGATCTGAAAGATACAAATAATACCTTACCTTGCTCAATGACAGCTGATGACTTTGAAAGAGTAGATGCCTTTGAGAGTACTGATGACTTCATTTTACGTTTAACTGGCTTTTCCTTTTCCATGTTTTCTTTTGCAGAATTATTCCTAGTGCCATGACTAAAATTGGATTGACCAGGACTTGAAAGAGTATTCAAGGCTTTGGAATGTTTCACGGAATTCTCCAGTACTAAAACACATATACAAAAGATTAAAATCTAAGAGTTACTGAATTTAAAAATACGAAAGAAGGTTGGGATTGTTTTTAATTGGGATTGCTTTTAATCTGAATTGCTTGAACTAGCCAAGAGAACAAAACCTGAAGGATGCTTAAAGCTTCTTTAGAAAATCTATTTTCTAACAGGAAAATGATATATCCAACTAGAAACTCTTAATAGTTTCAATATTTTTAGAAACTGTCCAGTCATTTAAAGATTTTGAAGGCTAGTCTAGGCAAACTGCTAGCAAGTGTGGTTATTAGGATTTAAATTCAGGCAGTTTGGATCAGAGTTGCCATTTTTAAGCATTATTCTATACTAACCTAAACTTCAAATTTTGTTTTCTTATTAAAAACAAATTTTTTAAAAAAGAAAAACAATGAATAAGGCACAAAGAACAGTGTCTGCTAGAAATTACTAAAACCCAGTATATTTCATTTGCCAAATTAAAAAAAAAAAAAATCAAACCACACACTTCAATTTAGAAACTGTAACTGAGTCTTACTTGTTTTTCCTGGCATTGCAGATGTATTAGCTTTTGAAATAAAAGTCTTTGTGGCTGAAGAAGTGGACGGTTGCTCAGTGATAACTGGATCTACAACCATGCGGTTGCTTCTCGTTCGAACCACACAACTGTACTCCGTTTTACCATTTATCTGAGCAGCATTGTGCCTTGGTGGTATTGATCTTGTAGGTGTAGAGAATGGAGAGGTAGAGATTTCTGATTTTAGCTGGGGTTTTAAGATCCTTTTTTTCCTTTCAGGGCTGTAAATAAAATAGTATTGTTAGTCATTCTTATAGCTCTATGTGTATGAATAAAACAGTTTTACAATACTGTTGGATTCAACACTTGTACTATTATGAAATATGTTAAATATGAGATTTGTAGTGGATTTCATATGGTTGTGAGCCTTGGAAAGTGAATATTTAGTGAAGGATCGCTGTAAATGCTAAAGTTATATGACGGAAAGCATGATGCCATCACTATCCTAAAAATGCTGTTTTACTGTATAGATTTAACAGTTTGAATTTAAGCACTTACACTAGTATAGCTTTAGTTAAAAGATTAAAAATCCTCCACATCATAGGAACTTGCATGTCAAATATACCATTCTGCAATATAGGGAATAGTAAAGGAAGTATTAAAAAACACCAAGTTCTATCATTTAGATGAAAGTTATAGATCAGTTAATGGTATTTAAAAGAAATTAAATACCTTGATGCAGCACTACTGGAAACAGAGCTGCTTCTGTTTCTTTTCTTCCTCCTTTTGGTTATGGTATTTCTTTTATGAAAACGAAGAGCAGATTTATAATCTGATAAAACTGAACTAATGTGTTCTTCAAAGAAAGCAGACAGGCGCAAACTCATGCTGTATATCTATTAAAAGGAAAAAAAACCCAACAACATTGTGTTCAAACTTTCCTCAAAGAAAAATATCTATTTAGTAAATACTGTAATTTAAATACCTTTCTAGTAAACATTTTTTAATGTAAATATTGCTTTATATACTTTTCTTAATCTCTTTTGATGAAAGAATAAACTGAAGCTTTTAACAATTAAGTTATTTTTGTGTTTAGATTAGGAATATTCCAAGTTTTGAGATTCTTAAAAGCCCTGCTCTAAATTCAGATGGCTCATACGGACAAAACTCCTTGTTGTGAGTGAACTCTACCATACAGAAACTACCCCAGAAGGCTTGAACCTGATTTCCACTGCTACTTAAGGTCTAGCATCTATTCTTTCTCATTTCATTTCCATATATCACTCCTTTGTGATGTCATGATTGGCCAGAGAGAGATAAATGATACTTATATTTTTACTTACTAATAATATCATTCACAAAAATGTCTCTTTCCATAAATGTTGAAAATAGCTGGAAAAGTTAAGTTCAGATGGCTCTAGTACATACCAGGAAAATTCAGGTATGATATCTATTCAACCACACTACTTCAAAAAAAGTAACCACTCCTAAACATCAAAAAATGACATCAAAGTTATTTCACAGAAAGAGTTTAGTAGAAAGGTGTAAATTATTTTTTCCACTAGGACACCATTAAGAACATAATAGAAAGTTAATTATGATCTAAATTTTAAATAAAAGCAACATTTAGCTATTCCATACACTTTTCCACTAATTTAATTTAACCATAAAAGAAAACAATTTAATTACATACCCTAGATCTTTTGCTTGGTGTATATGCTTTGGAATTACTAAAAATAAGTCTGACGTCTTTACATAACTCCATTGGTGACTCATAATTCCCAGCCTCTAAAGTTTCTCTAACAGTAGCAAAATCCATTGGAGTGTCAATGATGTCTCTGTAGTCCTAGGAGAGGGAAAACAGGTAGTATTATTATTATAACCACAAAGCATGGCTTCTCAGCACAGGAATTCACATAGGATTTTTATGACAAGTGCAAGTCTTAGATCTATTAATATTTGTTTCCCTCATCAAGGCTACCTTTTTTCTAATAATTTTTATTTACTTCATGTTCTGTTTTATTGGAATCAACATAGGGCTTTTCTCATTGAAGAATATACTAGTTCTTTTTTCACTGGGAGTCCAGGGGAGGATGGAGTCGTGTTGGAAAAAGAGAATTCAAAGAATATGAAAAAGCTCAGCTCTCCAACTAAAATAAAAATTTATATCATCTAAAATCCCCCAAATTATTGACTCATTGAAACGCAACTGTAACTTATTTTAAAATAAGGAAATAAGAACAAGGGAAGTATGCCAACATCACCTTTATGTGGAAGCCTGAATTCTAGTAACTTCAACTTCAGTCCTAAGATTGGGGGCTTTGCAGTAATCAAGAATTATGAATGTAAACAGTTGTCACAAAGTCTATGCACTTCATTCCACAGAGGAGAAATAGAATCACCTAAGGTCTCCACCTCGTCAGTTGTGTATAAAATAAGCAACAGATTGGAAACAATAAAAACAGAAAAGTGAAAGCAGAAGAGCAACAGAAAATTATCAGAATATGGTATCTTTTGGTAGAAACAAACAGTACTGTACCTTTTCAACAGTCCCTATGTATTAATAACTACATTTTTTGAAGTATAACAGCTTGACTTTGCACCATCAAGTTTAATTATCATGTTTGACAATAAAGAAGATACAATATAAAACAGGATTATTGCCTTTACAAATTTTTATTTCTTCCTTCCCAACGTGTATGCCTTTTATTTCCATTTTTTGCATTATTGCATTGGCTACAATTTCTAGTACTATGTTGAATAGCAATAGCGAGAGTGGACATTCTTGCCTCATTCCCAATCTCAGGAAGAAAGCACTCAAGTTTGTCACTATTCAGCATGATGTTAGCTATAGTTTTTTTTTTTTTTCAATGGATGTTCTTTATCAAGTTATGGAAGTTCCCCTTTATTTTTAGTTTTCTTAGAGTTTTTATCATGAATAATGACTGTTTGTCCCCCCGCCCCCACCCCCTATTCTGTGTTTTGTCTGTTTGGCATTTATTCATTACAGGACCAATGATGTTCTGCTCTGGTCCATTTGGGGGTCTTACAGACCTAGGGAAAGACTGCCCCTTCTAGGACTAGTCAATTCTTAAAGATAGTAAAAGGCTCCGTTGAGAACATGTCTTTCATGTAACAAACCAGTCAATCCCAAGCGTATAGCCCCAACCACTTACTTTTCTAACTCTCACACAACAAGCCATTATTTCCCTGTCCTAAATCATCCTAGGGCCAGGACCAGACAACCAGAGACCACCCCTACGCCCTCAAGCCTTGTTTGATCTATGGATTATTTAAGTGTATTGTTCAGTTAATAAGTATTCTGAGATTTTACTGTTATTTTTCTATTATTGATTTCCAGTTTGATTCCACTGTGGTTGGAAACATGCTCTATGATTTTAGTGAAGTGTGTCATTTTATTTTCTGTTTGTTCTGCTTTTTGTTTTTTACTTTTTTCCAATCTTCTTGTGAGTTACTTGAATAGTTTTTGAATTCCAAATTGATTTATCTATAGCGTTTGTGACTGTACCTCTTTGTATAGCTTTTGGAGTGGTTATTCCACTCCAAAATATAAAATAAGTATTTTACAATATTTATATATAATTATCAAAGTCTAATAGTGTCAACATTTTACCAGTTCAAGGGAAACATAGAAACCTCTCATCCCTTTAGTTTTTTAATCAAGTTCACTGATGCCTCTGTTCTCATCAATGAATTAATTTGTTCTACTATTTCCATTTAGTTCTTCTGTTTTTTTGTTGAGACTTCTTGTATTTTCATTTGTTTCAAGTATGTTTTTAACCGTTCAAGCATTTTTATGATGCTATTTTAAAAATCCTTGTTAGGTAATTCTAACATCTGTGTCATCCTGGTGTTGGCATCTGTTGATTGCCTTTTCTCATTCGGGTTGAGATCTTCCTAGTTCTTGGCGTAAGTGATTTTTGAGTGAAACCTGAATATTTAGGGTATAAAAATGGACCTTTTAAAAATCTAGTGCTTTAGGAGGCCTCCTCTGACACCACTTTGGTGGGCTGGGTGGGGCACTGCTTTGATTGCTCTAGGTGTTGGTGGTGGAAGTCCAGGTTCTCTACTTGGTCTCCACTGACACCCAAGGAATGGGGAGGACCTCCCTGTTACTGCCAGGAATGGACAGGAGTTCAGACTCCTTAGTAGGCTTCCATTAGGCTGGGAAGGTGGAGTGCCTTGTTATTGCTCCCTACATGGCCTCCAGTGACATTACGGGAGTGGCTTTATTATTCCTGACAGGTGGTAAAAGTCCTTACTACTCTTCACTAGGCCTCCACTGATACCACCCCACAGTGAGGATAGAGAAGAGGTACCTGACCTGATTACTACCAGGTGGGGGTGAAAGTCTAAGATCACCTCGTGGTTTCTACTGATACCTGAGGTTAGTGAGGGTGGGTCTCCACTGTCCTTTGTTGGTGGGAAAGGGGTGGGGCCACAGTTTTTTCCATGGTATTTGTGGAGTAGAGCAGTTACTGTCTTAACTTTTCTATGTTGCTAGGCTGCCTCTTTCTTGGTTCTCTGGCTAGAGAGAAGCTTTTCTGAAGGTTTTTTTGGTCAGTGCTCATTATTATTTCTAGGTTGATGGCTTCTCCAGTATTCACAGTGGGATATGTAAAGGCAAAAAGCAAACCAAGGGAACTCAGTACAGTGTTGGTACTGAAGTCCCCACTCTTTTTGTCTCTGCTTTTCAGAATCTTATGTTTGTTTTATACACAGTGTCCACAAATTTTAGTTCTACTTAGTAGGAGGAATAAGGAAAAGCATGTCTACTCCATTTTACCCCAGAAATTCCAATTATACCACCTTTAGCCATTTTTTAAATGTCTCACCTATAAATGCCTTCAGAGTCACTTTATAAAACCACACAACAAAATCAGACTTGGTACCTGTTAGCAGTATTTTATTTTGGCAAAACCAGTGTACTATGTATAGTCTACCTTAAGTACAAACCTATAATGGCTTTGCCTTTACAGAAATTAAATTCTCCCTTAGTGGAAGTCATTTTAAAAAACACATTCCAAAGATTACATTCCTAGATTCTTAAAGACAGTTACAGCCTCCCCTGCCCCACCAGGTAGTTATAAAATTGCTTTATGTAATGATAAAACCAGCTCCATCCTCTTAAGGTAACCATTTTGACAGTCTATAATTACTTGGATATTGAATATTATGGCATTATTGGTTTTACAAACTTTGTAGATTTTGTGAAAACATAATGATATATATAAAAATTTTTTAATGTTTTGCAAAATTTTGGTTAAATGTAAAATTTATGTAGAACACTTAATTTTTCTTGGCTCACATCTTGGGCTTCTACCATTTAGTATAGTACATGGTAGCTGTTCAACATATCTCTTGAATAAATGTGACAGAATATATACCATGTTAATTTCCATCAAAAACATTTAATTTTTAACCTATTGCTTTGAATATTTGATTAAACTCAAAATGCAAACTAATATTTTCATATAAAGCCTAAGTATGAGGTACATGATCTCCCTTAAATATATTCCACTAAAGCAAGGCTGATAGTTAACGTATAGTTAATTCTGAAGTATAAAAAGCAGATTAGCCAAATTTTCTCTTCTCCTCTGTGACAATAATGAAGAAACAACACACCTTCATCAGGAAGTACCACAAGAGATTAATTAAAATTTTATTTTAAGACTACTTTTTGTCTGCTAACACTTTAACATGTAGAAAAGGACAGGTTCTAAATATTTGCTAAATATTATTCTCATTATTTTAAATCATTAAGAGATGACTACATTCTTATATATTTCCCCTCTAAGTTTGAAAAGTGAGCTATTTTTTTTAATATAAAAATTCATTTGGTTATGTTCTAAGAATATCACATATGGGTGTATTGGATATAAGGGATATGGGTTCTTGTTCTGGCTTTATTGATAAATAACTAACATATTTTGGAGAGCTGAGCCTTAGTTCAACATCAGTAAAATGAGTGGGTTGGAGCACAGTCTCAGTCTCCTCCATTTTTTCTGTACGACTGTTTTAACATTTTTCTTTTTGCCATTGAAGTTTTGATTTTTTAAACTATTATCCTAGGTAAAGATTGTTTTTTTATCTATTCTGCTCAGAAATCATGGTTTGTCTAATGTTTGTCAACCCTAGAAAATCCTTAGCAATTTAGCTCCTCAAATAATGCCCCTCTCCCAGTCTGTTTATTCTCTCCCACTGAAATTTTTGTTAGGTACATTTTGGACCTTCTCACTCTATCCACCATATTCCAATCTCTCTTTCAGATTTTTCATCTCTTTATCTCTGTTTGGCATTCTGTATGATTTTCTTTCGATCTTTGTACTAATTTTCTCTTCAGAAATCTAATCTGTTCTTAAACCTGCCCAGTAAGTTTAATTTCAGTGATTTTACATTTCCAGAATTCTAATATTTAGTTGGTTTTGTTTTAATATGCCCTACTCTCTTTTCCCTTCAAATAGGGTCTTTTTTCCCCTTATGTTTCTTATGCCTTCATTTATCTCTTTAACCAAAATTATCTATCAAAGCTTAATTGGTAGCATTTTTTTTTTTTTGTGGTACATATAGTAACAGTCATCTTACAATGAATGGTGTCTCTCTTTTTTTTTTTTTTTTGAGACAGAGTCTCACTGTGTTGCCCAGGCTAGAGTGCTGTGGCGTCATCCTCGCTCAAAGCAACCTCAAACTCCTGGGCTCAAGCGATCCTCCTGCCTCAGCCTCCTGAGTAGCTAGGACTACAGGCACGTGCCACCATGCCTGGCTAATTTTTTCTATATATTTTTAGTTGTCCAATTAATTTCTTTCTATTTTTAGTAGAGACGGGGTCTCGCTCTTGCTCAGGATGGTTTTGAACTCCTGAGCTCAAACAATCCGCCCGCCTTGGCCTCCCAGAGAGCTAGGATTACAGGCGTGAGCCACTGCGCCCAGCCGTGTCTCTCTTTTTAAATGAAGTATAGTATTTCAGAATAATCTTATCCCAAAGAGTGCTAATATTTGTTGTTTCTGTTGTCTTAAATATGATGGATCACTCCCTCATACAGTTGGGTTTTTTTTTTAATCATTAATTCATCTTCAGTAGGGGCTGTTCTTTCTCCCCCCCTCCATGATAAACTTCTGTACCACCAGGGTAGTGTGAATTTGGATTCTAAATCTATGTATAAAATAAGCCTAGGGAGATTTCTCCTCTGACACTAGAGCCACTGGGAGAAACATTCTTCCTTGTGGAAGGCATTATTCTATCTTCCTTTTCATTCAAGGTACAGTCCTTCAACAATCCTGATTTAGGATTGGGTCTCAGTTCCAAATTCCTTCCTCACCATTGCCCAAGGCCTCAACTGTCTCTGCATAGTGTTAATACTTATGCTTCTAGAATCTCTAAACATTAAGGCTTATTTCTATCTCTTCTTTTCTGGGAAAAGCCCAGAATACAAACACCTATAAGCAATGCATACATTATAACTTATTTTTTAAAAAATATTGAGCTTGCAAGAAACAAAGGGAAATCCACCGGTTCCAAAAACAAAAAGAACCGAAAACCAGAGCACTGTCGCATCAGTTCTGTTCTTCCTGTGGTTTTTTGGACGGTGAAGTTCAAGTTAGCTCAATTTATCACAATGCTAGAATTAAAGATTTCTCTTCCACATTTAAGATTCCATGTTTCTGGTTTTTTAAATAACAAGAAAAAAGTCATTTAATGTTATTTACCTATTGACAAAATATCTCTATTTTCATCACTGCAAGTTAGAACATACATGTAAAAAACAGATAATAAAGTCAGATAATACTACGTCTAGGTCATGATGTCTTATAAACATCTTTTATTTTCATTTGAAACCATGAATGCTATCTGAACTGTACAACCTTTAATAACTTAACTAAGGGAATAAGAAATCACTTTACACTAAATTCAGATTGCTATGACTGCATGCCAAGATAAATACTTGGATCATACTTACTCAACTCTTTTTTATCATGTATTCCATAAAGATCATATATTGGTATAACCTAAATATATATAATGCCACCTTACATTTGTATATACTGCTTCACATTTAAAAACTATTTTTATATGTTCTCATTTCATCTCCATAACCTTATAAGGAAGTAGATATTATTATTCTTGTTTCCTAGGTAATTGCTATAATAAATTTATTGAATTAGTGTGGGGAAGAAAAGAAACAATAAAAAAATATTCAGATGGGAAAACTAAGTGACTTGCTCCAAGTTGCACAACTGGTAAGAACAGAAGTAGGACCATAACCTAATTCTTCGAGGTCTAGTTCAGGGCTCCTTCCATTTTATCACACTATTCAACTTATATTCTCTGTATAACCACATGGATAATGAGAACATGTATAAAATAATAAACTATAATCATAGACAATAATAAAATAGCCAACTGTCCTATATAAGACATATAGCAAACTGACAGGTAAAGAAAATATTTTCAATAGTACTTACTGGATATTCAAGGAGATCTACTGGCTGGCGGAAAGGCTCTGAATCTTCACATTGAAATATGAGATTTAGTAATTCTTGACATTGTTTCTTCCACGCTTGAATATCATAAGACTGAGCTCTATTACGTAATCTTCTTCTAGGCTGATGGTCCTAAAATTAAAATGTTCAAATATTTTAATAAAATAGCACCAATACAATAAAATTTGTATTTTTAATGCAGTCTTAACTAGGATATATACAAGTAAATTCAAATGAAAGAAAACATGTATCATTTACTTAGTTTTGTGAAACATGCGTTTTGTTTTGAAACTAATTTGGAAGTAATACTCAATGTCTTTAAAAATGCTAAGAGTAAAAAAAGCTCAATTCATTTTAATTCATATAAAGTACTTCTGCTAAAACAAAAAAACTGTATTACCTTCCTTTTTCGGGTAGAAGTTCCTGGCACATCAGTGTCTTTCTCTTCTTCCTTTGAGGCAAGAATTTATGAATCATAAAACATCCTAGATTTCATTATACTCTATAGTTGTTTAATTAGCAATTATTTCCTTTATATAACGGAAAACCTGTAATACATATCCTGGGGTACTTTACTGACTCATGGCTTTTACCTTTGTAAATTTCTTTTATATATAGAATAGCAACATAGTAATCATAATGAAATATAACATACCTCGGAGTCAGACAAAACTTTCTTCTTCATTGAATTGTAAAGTGGAATTATGTTATAACAAGTCTGATCCCTAAATAACAATAAGGAAATGTTAATATATAAGATTAGAGACATGAGATTTTTTTTTTCCTTTTAGAATTTGTTCCTAAAACCAGATATTAAGATAACTGTTGAAGCTAAAGGCTTGCTTTCCCCATTGGTTGACTCCAATACCCTATGCACACACACATGACCCTGTCCCCTCCATTCTATGTACCGCCTCCCACTCTGGCCTATTTCATTACACCAAACCCAATTTTCATCTTCCAGTCTTTGCTCAGATCACTGCCGTGCTTCGTCCATTCCTCAGACTTCAAGGGAAAGCTAACATACTTTCTGTCTTCGGATCCTTTCTTTTATTCTTAAATGTAGGTACTCCTGAAAATTTTGTCCTTAGTCATCCTCTTTTGACATTATACCTTTTCCACTGATAACTTTACATATCTGTGGTTTATCCATGTAAATGAATTCTAAGTATCTGTAATTTGTCCTGACCCTTCTCCTAAGCATCCTATCATCACCTAAAATTCCACATGTCTAAATATAATTGGCATTCCCCAAATACTCTTGTTCCTTTCTATTTTTTTGTTAACAGCATACCATTCTTACAGTAATAAGAATCTTGGTTTTTCATTATTTCCTGCCCTTGCCTTGTCCTATGAATTTTATCCTTAAAAATCTCTTGGCATCTGTCCCTTTCTCACATCATAAATTAAGCCCTCATCACCTATTACTTGGTCAGCTGTAGCAGCCATCTTCTATTTATGCTTTTTGTCTCTTCTCTGTCAATTAATATTAGATGTTGCAGTCAAATTAGTATTTTTAAGGCATAGTGTAAAAAACATGTTATTTTCATGTTAGAGTATTTGCAATAGTCCTTTCTCCCAGAGCTCATATTTTCAAAGCTCCTTAGATTGGCACTCAAGGCCCTCCACAATGTGGTTCCAACTCACATTTACAGTACTGTATCACTATTATGACTTGCATTCATGTACTCCATACTTCACCCAATTTAAATTACCCTTAATAACTTTCTACTTTCCTACCTTAAGCTGCTCCTTATCCCTGGAATGGCTTTCATCTAACTTCTCCTCAATCTATCGATATCTACCTTGTTTATAACATCTTAACATACTTCTCCCTGTATCTAAACCCCCACTGCAATAGCCAGATGTGACCCTAACTGCATCTAAACTTTCATACAATTCTTTTACTTACCTGTTTTCCTTATATTACAGTTACTTACAGATTTATTTATCCTATGAAACTGTACTATGACGGTAAAAATACTGTTATTTCTATCTCCAAATACCTATCACTTTGTATATATCAATTGCTTGAAATTTTTTCAATAACTCCATTAAAAGTACAATAATAAAAATTTCAGGGAACATTTTATATCTTGAAAATTAATGTCAGTCCAAACTGGTTTTTAACAAAGTACACAAATCTAAAAAATGCCAAAGATTTTTAGAGCTATATACTATAAATGCTTTAAATATTAACCTGCATTTCAAAAGCATTTCGAAGTAACTATTTGAAAGAAATGCATTTCATAGACTATTCCAAATGTAAAAATAATTTTCATCTAAATTATTTCACTGAAATATGAATATACATGTGATTCTATTGATTCATATTTCTTTGAAAAAAGACATGTGCATGCACATACTTGTATAAAATTAAGACAAAGAAGTCTTCGGAGGACAAATAATGCTTAATTACTAATTTCACTAAGGAAAAGCAAAACCACAGCAATAAAGCCCCCAAACCATTTGGAAAGCAAAAGATTTCTCAAATAATAAAATAGAGAATGGGGACAAAGTTTACCTTACTAATTTTGTTTGGTGTTTTCTTGTACTAAAATAATCTACATGCCTTAGTAAAAAACACTAACTAATCCCAGGAAAAGGGATCCTAAGATTATACTCAGTAATGAGAATGAAGCTGTAGAGGTTTAAAAAAAAAAAAAAAAAAAAAGCTTGACTAATCCCTTCATGTAAAAATAAAAGCTGATAACAGCTGAGTATTTGATAACAAAATATACTGTTACCTCTTCTTTTTATTTAATTTTTTTTTTATTTCAGCATATTATGGGGGTACAAATGTTTAGGTTACGTATGTTGCCCTTGCCCCCCCCGCCAAGTCCGACTTTCAAATATGTCCATCCTTCGGGTGGTGCGCATTGCACTCTTTGTGTATGCATATACCCGTCCCCTCCTCCCTCCTCCCTCCTCCCCCCTCTCCCCTGCCCAACATCCAATAGATGTTATTCTTATATGTGCACTTATGTGTTGATCAGTTAATACCAATTTGATGTGTTACCTCTTCTTAACCAGAAAAAATTATGCAATATGAATAACATTAATATGAAATCAGAGCAGTCTTTTGTATAAGATATATAATTTATTTCTCTGGCTTCAATTTAGAAGGCTCAATTCATTCTAGGGCTATATAAAATCCCTAGGATAAGGAAGGAAAAGTGCTTCTGCCTTAATATATTATACTTATCATTCTTGCTGTGGGATCAATGAATGAGGAAGTAAATTGGACTTTGAGGGAAAAGAATCCTAAAAGTTAAATTCAGTTGCCTGCTGAAAACTTAAATACTTGTTCATAAATTTGACAGGGGCAATAAGTTTTCAAGTTATATCGCAGACATTCATTTACTGTGCAACCTTAGTCAAGTTAACCTCTAAAAGCTTTAGTCTCCTCAATTAGAAATTTCATATAATGATTTCTTCCACTGTAAGATTTGGCTTAGAAGAGCTAATACAGGTAAAACATTATGTGTTTGATAAATATTTACTATTATTATTATTGTCCAACAGATGGATTAAGAAAAGGATTTGTATTTTTTTATTTTAACTGTACAACACAACTGTAATTCCATAATCAATAGTAGCCAATGGACTAAATGTTTCTTCTTTAGACATAAATAATACATGTTTTCTATTTTAAGGGAAACTATATTTATGTGACAGCATATGACATTAAGTGTATCAAAAATAATTATATCTGGCCGGGCGCGGTGGCTCACGCCTGTAATCCTAGCACTCTGGGAAGCCGAGGCGGGCAGATTGTTTGAGCTCAGGAGTTCAAAACCAGCCTGAGCAAGAGCGAGACCCCGTCTCTACTAAAAATAGAAAGAAATTAATCGGACAACTAAAAATATATAGAAAAAATTAGCCGGGCATGGTGGCGCATGCCTGTAGTCCCAGCTACTCGGGAGGCTGAGGCAGAAGGATCATTTGAGCCCAGTAGTGTGAGGTTGCTGTGAGCTAGGCTGACGCCACGGCACTCACTCTAGCCCGGCCAAAAAGAGTGAGACTCTGTCTCAAAAAAAAAAAAAAAATAATAATAATTATATCTTACATTTTGACGTTTTGTATTCTCAACTATTTTGCTTTTTAAAATAGCGTCATTATTATAATTAAGTATGAAAAAATGACTTACTTTATAAAATGTAGAAGAAGATCAGTCACAAATTTAGCAGATTTCACAATAGGGCTTCCAGGCTCATTAAATGTTCGTGTATTATGTTCTATATATCGAACTTCCCACATTAGGGAAGAAACTCGCCTTTAAAAAAACAAAATATAGAAGTCTTAACCTCAAATTTGGAAATACATGTACACAATTTAAAACCAAGACATTGTGACTTTCAATTTTAGTCTTAAATCAATCACAAAATTCACATCTTAAAAAGCCATTTTCAAAAAAGCATAACCCCATCTGTGTTAGGGGAAAAAAAAAGGAACATTCTGTATTCACATAGAAAATGTCTGGAATGAAACACACCAATCAGACTATTAATAGTGTCTTCTTTTGGGTAGGAAGAATGTCTAGAGGAGGAGTTTTTTGTTTTTGCTTTACGTATTTGTCATGTATGCTATCACTTTTTGGTAATAAACACCCCCTGACTTCTACACAAAAAAGAAAACAAGTAATTTTAACCTAATTATATTACTGGTAGTCAAAGAACATGTAAAAATGAAAAGTTAACTGACAGTCTACTTTTGAGATATAAAAACATAAAGACACGGTGAGTGTGATACTTTACCAAGAAACCTGAGAATTATATTTCTGAACACTTAATTGACAATGCTAAAATAAATTCTGGTGCTTTTTATTTTATTTCTGAAAGTAATGAGAAATCCAAAGAAAATTTCTGAGAGTATTATTCAATAGGAGGCCTGAATTAAAATAAAAAACATTTAGAAAATTTTACTGACTTGTGAACAGAAATACAATTATATGGAATAAAAAAATACATAATTATGGATATAGAAGCACACAGAAAAACTTCTGTACATTTCAAATAGATTCATGAGCTCATTCTAATAACAGAATCAAAGACATCTTCAGTGTATTGTATAGAAAATTGTGTGTAAAATAAGCCATTATGTTAATACCAGGAGGGCAAAGTGATGACAGTAGTTTAACAAGAGACTTAACTGTAAGAATCAGAGGAAAAACACAAACTCTAAGAAGTCTAAAAACAGCAAGTAAATGAGGAAGCAAAATAGCTTTAAACAGTGAAATAGCATATGAAGGTATCACTGTATTGAAGAAGAACGTAACTCAGGTTTATAACTGAGTTATTATCCGATTGGAAAACAGTCAATTTCTAATAAATATATGTACTATGTTCTAAAAGTTTTTTTCCTTAAATTGATTACAAAGCTATGTCAATGCCAAAAAGCCTATTCAAAATATACTGTATTGTGATGTTCCTTGACTAACAATGGGGTTACATCCTGATTAACCCATCATAAGTTGAAAATATCTAAGTTGAAAATGTATGTGATACACTTAACCTACCGAACATCATAGCTTAGCCTAGCCTACCTTAAACATGCTCAGAACACTTAAATTAGCCTAGAGTTGGGCAAAATCATCTGGCAACACAGTACGCTACAGATTATCAGCTTACCCTTGCAAACGTGTGGCTGACTGGGAGCTACTGGAAGCTGTGGCTTACTACTGCTGCCCAGTATCACGAAAGAGTACATCACTTGCCCAGGAAAAAATCAAAATTTGAAGCACAGTTTCTCCTGATGCTTACCCCTTTTGCACCACAGTAAAGTCAAAAAATCGTAAGTTGAGCCATAGTAAGTCAGAAACTGTAGGTATAGTACACCTTTGCAGTTGTCATATTGAATAGTGTATCTGTGAAATATTTACAACAATATTGGGAGATGCCAGCAGCTTATCTTTCTAGTTATAGTCCAACAACTAGTGTATATGATTCTTTCTCTCCTTCTCGTCCTCCCATGTCTTGTTCTAACTAGGCTTAACTCCTAATCTTTGGCAATTTAGGGGTCTAGGGAGAAAAAGGAATGTAGTTAAGAATTTCTTCTCTGTTTTTTTTTCCTCTTAAATTTCTAACCCGTGGTACTGAAAAAGACGTAAAGATGTATACTTTGAGGGCTGGGAGGCATATATTATAGGGGATTTCCTTCTCATCTCTATGCTTTTGACAAATATCAATGAAGCAACAGCAAGTACACCTAACAAGATCAGAAAAATCTTCAGATCCCAAAGTTTAATTTCTTAGTTTTCTTTATTCTAGTGGTTCTCAATCAGGGATGATTCTACTCCCCAGGACACATTTGGCAATGTCTAAATATATTTTTGTTTTTTACAACTAGGGGGCTGGGCTATTATAGGCATCTAGTGGGTAGAGAGGCATAGGATAGCCCCTCACAATGAAGAACTTTCCTGCCCCTAATGTCAGTAATGCTGCTAATACTGCCGCTGAGAAACCCTGTGTTAGTCAATAAGGAGTATAACAAATGGTGTTTTTAATGCCAGGTACATAATAAAAGAACCAAAGGCACATTTTATATAGAAAAATATTTCAGTACAAAATATGAATAAAATTTTCCTATGTTAAAATGAAAAATAATGGAAAGGACTGCAGTAATATAAAACTGGTCACAAAAAGAAAAGTTTTAATGCAATATTATATGAATTAAAATGCTGTTGGCCTGCTAAGCAAAAGTCATATGAGAAAAATCCAAGCTAAAAACGTGATTGTATTATGTGAAGACTATAGAGTTATATACACTTTTTGACAAAACATTTTAGGCAATAAACCTACAAAGCCTATCCAAGATTAAGAACTTGATGTTTATCAAAATTAACTAGAAAACGCAATTTAACTGAAATTATGTCTGGGTTATTTAACGTTTGTCTGTTTCACACTAAACTACAACTATGAAAAATCATCTACAATCTTTTCTAATTTCATTTTTCGTAAGTATTAATAAGCTGAATATAAACAAAATAAAAACGAAATACACATTTTTGCTATTATATAAGAAAAATACATGAAGAAACAAGTATTTAACATTACCTAGGAGAAAATTAAACACTTTGTCTTGCTTTATAAAATACAATATGAGGACAGCGAGCATCAAATCATAGCAGCATCTAGGAAAAACTGTATCCAGAAATTGTATTCCAAGTGTAGTCTATATAGACCAGCACCATCAGTATTACTGGGAACTTGTTAGAAATGCAGAATATCTCAGGTCCTGCTCCAAACCTACTGAATCAGATTCTACATTTTAACACAATCCCCAAGGGATTCATTCGTATGTGCATTTGTATACACATCAAGTTGAGAAACACTGCTATAGTAGATCACTAAAAGGGTGAAAGGATCACTAACTTTCCTTTGGTAGTAGCTATATCAAATGATTCTAACCTGTAAAACCTGTTTTCCAGTCTTTGTTTAATTGTACTTAGATCCGTTGGATATGCCACTACAGTGCAATACATGGGATAGGCTTGCAGGTCCACAGGGGCCACAAATGCTGAGGCAATATCTAAAATAAATAAATAAGTTTATAAATTTACTTTTGTATGCTTAAAACAATCCAAGGATAATTCTACTCGAATTTAGACTTAATAAGTCATAATCTATATAAGTATTAGTCTGCCATTGTCTTTTCATAGAAAATACATATAGTTTAGTTGACATAAAGTCTCATTTTTTATTATGTCTACATTTATATCGCAGAATTCTAGGGACATTTTTAATTCACAGATTCACTAGGAGAAAGAAATGACAGATAATATATAAATATGACCTATTAAGCACACATGCATTTCTATAATTGATAGCTGGCCATTCCTCAATCTGTACATTATCATGTTTTTGACACAGCCATTCTACCAATAACACTGTAACACTGCATTCAGATGTAACCTTTGACTTTCTCTAAACTTATCACCTCATCTCAACTTCACATTATTCACTGATGTATCAAGCAACTAGAGAGGAGGAAACAGATCCAGAAGTTTTTGATTCAGTTATCACTGACCTAATGGTACACATTAAATTGGTAGAGCAAAAACTAGAATCTAATGAAGATCAGTCTCAATTTTTTTGCTTATTCACATATAAAGCTACTTCATATCTTAAAAATATTATTAAGATAGTATTTATAGGGTTATTTTTATACAGTATTGCCATTTTATAAAAGACTTCAGATTTGAATATCCTACAACCTGGGTCTCCTGTGTCTTCGGCTCTTTTTACTCATGTTAATTTCTCCCTAGACTCTTTGAAGCTGATTCCTTAACTGACAGAGTGGGTTGTTATACACCACGACAGTAGTCTAGAGTTACTCTGGAAGCCCAGGGTTCAGATAATCAAGTTTTGTGGTCATTATTATTTTTTTCAAATGAGGCAAAGCAATTCATACACTCTTTTCTTTCCCTTTAAAAAGATTCTCTTGTGTATGTGCGTGTAAAGTTGGGGAAAACTGGTACAGTTATCTATATAATTATAATCCAGCTTTCAAACCCCCCTTCTCCAATTCATATCATATCAGCTTGAATATGCCAAAGATTTTAAAATTGGATTGTGGAGGACCCAGGTTTTTTTGAGATACCACTGGCATTTCTAGGAGGCCCTCACTCTGAAATTCAGCTGGAGTGTTCGTCCATTTACTACTGTTTTAAATAGTTAAGTCCATGAAAGACCTCATTTAAAAAAAGATTCCATTTAAAAATGTTTGAAAACTGCTGACTTAAGATATTGTGAGGAAAAATCTTGTTTGAATAATAGTATTTTTCTTTTACTTTGCTTTCTGCCAGCTTTTTCCATACTTATGTGTTGTTGTTATTTACCTAGTGTCATCAACTGGTTTATTCCTGCAACAATTCTTTCACATTCTTCATCCCTGGGATTGGTACCCCATTCTCCATCAAGAGGTTTATAGATTAATGATCTACATTCAACATCAGTTAAAGGAACACTGGTACCTAGTTCTTCAGGAAATACAGCTGAAATACACAGAGAAGCAGATCAGTGAAAATATATGGTAACTTATTAATATTTAGGTTACCTTTAGAAAGCAGAATATTGTCACAAAATTAAAGTATATTTTGTAAGGATATACATATATTTATTTTCATAAAGAAAAGTATTTTTCAAGGGTAAATACAATTTAAATTTTTCAAAAAGACATTAAATTTATGAATAATTCTCTAGATAATAATTATATCTGAAAACTTTGCTCTATAATTAAGTTACAAGTACAGAAATAATTTCTATAAAATGATGCATATTTCAAAGTTTTCTGAGTCATTTTATAAACTAATTGCCATATTTATTTTCATAAAACACACAGGAGGTGAAACTGAACTAAAGTGGTATTTTTCAGGAATACTTCAATCAAAGCCCCAATTTCTGAATGCAGGAAAAGAGAGAATTACAAATATTGACAAATGATTCCTAAGCTTGTTGCTCTTAAATGGTAAAAGGATGCTTTCTGCATGCCTGAATCTCTAACATTTTAGGTAAGAGCATCATTAGAGAGTGGTGGTGATAAAAAACTACAAACGTGCTAGTTAATTTTTCCTTTGGACTACACTTCAGAGAAATTGGATTACATGTCATCAGAAAAACACTGGGAAATATGCCACTGTTTGTATACAATCAAAATTCTTCCTCCTTATAAACTGTAATTAAAACTATGTGGGTGCATATGAATGTGTATAGGAAAAAGAACAACAAAAATCCACACTCCTCAGATACATTTAGGTAGGAAACAAAATACTAAATTAGTATCACTTATTCATTTTAAAAAATACCCAAGGCATTATTACATTTATCAACTTCATTTCTCTCATAGTCACAACAGTTCAACATGACTTCAAATTCAAATTTTCACAAAGAGGAGAAACAAAACCAGAAGATACACCATGTAACACAGTTACAAGTAGATTAAGATATTTTGTACTTTTAAACAGCTCTAATCTAGCAGTGAGATGAAAAAACACATTACTGGCATGAAATTTTCAAAGTGATAATTTCTGCAAAGAACTAAACTTAGCTTACGAGCATGATCAAGATTATTTTCTCATTTCTAAGGTCTACCAGAGTGGGCTACTTTCTTCAATAGTTATCTATTCTCTGACTTTTTAGATTAAATAAATACTTAGCAACTACATTTATAAGTGATTATTTCTACTATGTTACAAATAAGATATTTTTCTTTTTTTAAAAAAATCTTTATTTTTCTCTGCTAACAAATGTAACACTATTTTAAAAAACCAAAAATATACAATATGTAAAAGATACATTCATGAAGTCTTTATAAATCCTATCCTCCATAAATAATCATTATTAATAATCTGGAATATATCCTTTTTAAGTTTATTCAATTGTGTGTATGTGTGTATTTTTTAAAAATTGAAACAAAAATGGGTAATGGGGTAGAAAGAAAATGTAAACTCCAGGCTGCAGCCACACTGACCTTTCAGTATCAGGAAAATGTCATAATCAATGCCTAGGGCTAATTTTCAAATCCTGAGTGTATCAGGCCATATCCAACCAAGATGACAGCTGTTATTATCATTATCAATTACAACTACCTTTCCACTGAACTCTTACATGTGTCAGGCTCTATAATAAGCACCTTAGACACATGTCATTTAATCCTCAAAACAGCCCTTATAAAGGGAAGATTTAGACAATTTCAAAGGATGAGTCCTCAAAATTTGAGGTTATGAGACTTTATGGAACTTGCCATAATCACACAGTAAATGACAAAGCCAAGCTATGAATCTATGCCCATCTCACTCAAAAACCTGACCTCTTAACTATTATGTTGTACTCTATTCTGCGAAAGTTACAGAAATGTCTTTGCTCCTCAAATTAACTTTCTAGGGGTGAATAAGTAACAAAATACTTTTTGCTGTAATAAATTCATTTCAATCTTCCTTGTTGTCTATAAATTCCAAGTAGGCAAGGATTGTATCTATTTTGTTGACTGCTGAGTCTCTCATATGTCCAGGGTCGGTATCAAGTGTACAATTAGTATTTGCTAAATAAGTACTTTTTATTTGATCCTCACAACAACCCTAAGTGGTAGTAAGCTGGCAAATCAGATGTCTTATTTAAGAAATTAATTCCATAATACAGACACAAAAATAGCCTCACACTTACCATTATTAGGTATAAGCTCCATATCCCAAGGACTCATCTTTTCTGTATCTCCATTGTCCCAGCTTAAAGGAAGGAAAATCCTTACATTAAAAAATCTAAATATTGTATTGCAATTTTTATAAAACCAATTATAAAAATACTTGCTTTGGTGTTTAAAGAAGTATCTTTATCCCTTTATTAACAGATAGGAAAAAGATTCAAAGCAAGCCTGGTTGAACTAAAATGTAACAAATATTTCCTTACCAAACATTATAGCACTGAAACAAACTATCAGGGTACTCAGGTTGAAGAGGTTCCTGGCTTTCAATTGTTCCAAACCACCAGGCATCATCTATAACTGATCTGAAGCGGTCACCTAGAAAGAACAAAAGCCATCTTACTACTCTGAAATGTACTGTTGTTGTTACTGCTTTTTCCTAAGGTAAACCTTTAAGATACTGCCTGTATGATTTCAGAAGACACATGAAAAGTGAGCCACACACTCCAAAAATATATAAGTAAAATCAGCAACATTGAGAGAAAAAAGTATTTTAAGTCAGCCTATATGAAGTATGACTTACCAGTTTCCAATCCCATTTCTTAGATTTCATTAAAGTATGGAGAAATTTACTTTTATCTTAAGCACTTCTACCAATCTAGTATTTTAAATTCATCAATAGGACTATGCAAAAACTTTTCTCTCAAATAAAAATATAATTTAGGTAAGTTCCGTTCAACAAATACTTACAGTCTATCTTTCTTACTTTCTATAGGCAAGTTTCCCTAACCAACAACAATCAAGACTGCAGCCTAAAAACAAAACCGACACCAAAAAATCCAACTTGTCTTCCTTCATCTCAATTGCCCCTAAATTGTAATATATACACATTCACTCTCCCTTTCCTATAAAAGCACACAAAAAAGAAACAAAAACTAATCTTTGTAAAACACAGACCACTCCTTGTGTCTAGTTCCTTATCCAACTGCTACCATATTACTTACTGCTTTTCCCAAAGACCCAAAGCTACAAATGCTATAGTCCTTTCCTATCCAAATCTTCTCAGCTTCCCTCTGTGTCATATCAAAATTTAAGCCACTCACTCCCTTAGTGCAATGCTTTCCCCTTCCTTGGCTTTCACAGTATTTATTGAGTTTTCTCCTGGCTGGTATAGGCTAGAGTCTGAAAGACTTAGGTTCAAATAACAGATCCGTGTGACTCTGAACACATTTATTAGCTATTTTTGAACTTCATTTTCCTCATCTATAAAAAAGAAATGGTGATGTCTACTTCATGGTTGTTTTTGAGTAATTCCTTCTATTAAATGGTACTCTTTACATTTTTAACACACAGTTAAGGAAAATGAATCAAGCTGGCAACTAATCCAAATCAGTTTTATTTTCAAACTCACAAAGAAAAAGGTATTTATGTTCTCATTTTTTTTTTTACCAAGAAGGATTTATAAATTTACAAAGAAATATAGTATTAAATGAATCAAAAATTAGAAAAGGTAAAAGAAATATGATACAAAAGAAAACTGGAGCCAGGAGTAACTTAATAGAACATAACTGCAAGTTGTTGACAGAGCTATTACTAGATTAAGAGTCTCTGTATTGTTCCTCAGATGCATATTAGTGACAATGAGCTTAGCCAGAAGCTACTATATAATTTAATAAACAGCATTCTTGACACCACAACTTTACAGTAAACATGATGAGTTCCACGAACCCATTTCTTATGACCTTACACAAACAGATCATTATGCTAAAGAGGAAGAACTGGACAATGTGTGCCTAACCGCAATGAATAGTATTTGTAGAATGGTAACAACGAAGCAAAGAATAGAGTCCACCATTCACAGTAAGCCTTAAAACATTTCTCATGACAGTCTAAAATAAAAATTATTAATGTAATTTTAAATGGCAGTCTGTGGGTGGATGCATATAACCTGAGATAGAAAAGACTAATTCAGATACTAACTTCAGAAGAAATATTAATGTACAAATATAGAAAAAAATGAGAAAATTATGATGTTCATTAATTTGAAATTCTCTTTGATTTGTCCAATGCTTGCTTTATTTCTTTGTGTAGGTTATGAGCTCACTTCTCGAATATGCCTGGATTCCGATCTCTTAATATTTGTTCCGACTTTTACTGGCAGAGACGTGTCCTTTAAAAAGTAAAATTTATCAAGTAATGCTGAGGTCCCCAACCTCCAGACCACCCCCTACCCTGTGGAAAAATTGTCTTCCATAAAACTTAGGAAGAAGGGGCCCCACATATGCGGTGGGTGAGCTAGGGTATTTACAGCTGCTCCCCATTGCTAGACCACCTCCTGAGCTCCACCTCATGCCCCCCACCCAACCCTGCTCAGTCCGTGGAAAAATTGTCTTCCATGAAACCAATCCCTGGTGCCAAAAAAGGTTGGGGACCACTGGTAATGCTATGTGAATAATTTTTAAAAAATTGAAAGTTCTAAAGGCTTATAACCCAAAACCAAGAAAAAAACATTTATCTATTTTAACTGTTTCTTCCTGAATTTATTTACAGATTTCTAAATGAGTGTATAGGTATTTCTTCACTCATCAATTTTTGACATTAAGTATTACAGTTGACCCTTGAATACCATGGGTTTGAACTTACCCATGGTGTCCACTTACATGATTTTTTCAGTAAGTACAGTTAGCCCTCAGTAGTGGCAGGTTCTCCATCAGCAACCAAATGTAGGTTGAAAATATAGTACTGGTGGGGTGTGAAACCCACATTGGGGGTGGAGGGAGAAGCATCAGGGGTTCTGCAGAACTCACTGCAGGTCTTGAGTATACAAGGGCTTTGGAATATGTGGGGAATCCTGGAACCAACCCCCCATGGATACAGAGGGACAACTGTAATCTCGATACCATTATATATGAAAGGTATATATGCATTATATTTAATCCACATTCAGTTTTTACTATGACTATGTAAATATTGTTTGCTACTATGCAAAACAGCATATAATTCCTTTCTTGTATAATTTTGTTTTTCCTAAAACAATTGTTTCATTTTTCATGCTCAGTTTTCTCTGGATGTTTCCTTTAATCAGCTAAAATCACAAAGAGAAAATCTAATGCTCTTTAAGCTCACAGAAATTCTAATCCTGATTTTCCCCCTCCATTCCTCAAGTTATCTTAACACCACTTACTCATAACCAAGTCTTTTAAATAACACTACTTTGGATATATACTCAGGTGTTAAGATGAGCAGTTATTTTTTGGTTTCACCTTTTTATCTTTCCACTCCCATTTAACAGCTCAAGCTCTAAAAAACATGCTTCAACAGAATTTCCCACAAAGTGAAACTTGTTAGGTATGAGTTCCACCTTTTTTTCTTGAAGATTTCTCTCTTGGAGGACAGTATCTTCTGGACTGTTTATTTTCTAGAATTGATAGCTGTTATTCTGAGACTTCTGTTGATTATTAACCTGGCAATTCCTTTTGGTTTTTCTTGCTCTAGACTCCCTGTTTCCTGAGGGGATTCAGTATTTTTCTCTTTCTTGCTTTACTCCCCTATCTGATGAAACATCTTTCAAAGCTTCCAGGGAACTGGGGTACATGATACGTAAATTTTCTCGATAACTCTCATGACTATACTTTTGATAACTTTCATTTTCCTAATTTCTCTTTACAAAGCACATATATAAATTTCTAAGTTTACGAAGACCAACCAAGAAAAGAAAAATCACCACGCCAATGCCTTCCAATGGCACTGGAAGAGAGATAATAGACTGTTATATCAATTGATGTGCTTTCTCAAACCACACAGGCCACATAGACACCATGCTGCAGTCCAAGATGACAAACACTGGCCCTGTTTGAAATTTTTAAGAGAAGTACTCTAATAAATAGTACATCCATCTGTATATAAATTAATGTACCTTAAATGCCTGAGAAGTTTGAGAGTTTTAAAGTTTCTTTGAGGGTTATTTACAATATTAATTTTCAAGATATAATAAGGTTAACCAATCAAAGAAAAATGTCAGTTAAGCTTTAGTGCCAGTCTAAACTTACACATTTTGTTAAGGTTTCTTTTGGCTTTGTATTTGAATTTTGTTATTAATCTGTTTGGATAAAAATTTAATTCACCATGTAAAATAGCTAAAAGGAAAAGTTGTAAATAATCTTACAATAGTTACCAAATGTAATAAAGAAAATATGTGGAATGTCAACATCAACCAGATTAAAATATTTTTATTCTTGAAACTTAAAAATACCTCTGACACAGTATCTTACTTTGCCATCAACACTCCTACAAATAGGAAGATTTCTCTAATTATCTCTTTCTAAATTATGAAAAACAGTAAACTGATTAGGAAAAAAGACATATTAAATACCTATGGCTTCTAAATAAATTACCCACCTATATTCCACCGCCTATATTTTGCGTCGTCAAATTGTTGTCTCAAGACTAGGAAATCTATAACGTCAGGCATATCATGGTATCTAATTACAAAAAGAAACAAGCCGATTAGGTCACATACCTAAAAATATCTAAAAGATGTTCAAATTTATCTGAATCTTGAAAAACAATCTACAATACTAAGAAACCACTGTCTCTTTCAACAGTCCTTACTTCATGGTAAATGATCCACCAGTCAGTTTACCAGTATCAGGATCTAGAAAAGCGAGTTTAAGGCAGCAAAGGGTAGGCAATCCCACTTCATACTTTATGCCAACTATTTTCATAAGTTCTTGTTCCTGAGAAAGATAAATTAAAAAAAATCTTTACAAAATAAACCACAAAAACAGATTGCTAAACATAGTTCAGAAAACACTTCTTGGTTTTAATCTTGATTTGGATGGTGATGACTACGTATATGTAAAAATCACTGTGCTCTGAACTTAAGATTTACACACTTTACAGCATGCAAGTTACACTATAATTTTAAAAAGGCAAAAAAAAAAAGAAAAATTTTACTGAAATGAGTTTTCCAACACAATTCCAAAGGTAATTTTGAGCTACTGCTGATAAATCTAGAAATACTCATTAAATTGACTAATACGAACTTTACATGAGATTTTAATGTTATCTAATTTTCACTACAACTAAATTTTGTACCCAACCTGTAAACTGTATTGAAGTATATAAATTCACTCAATCTTGTGTTTCTCTAACTGGAAATTAAACGCTTCTACTCTCCAGGATGGCTTTAATCAAACAAAGTATCTTCATGATACAGTTTCTGATAGTTAAAATAGTAACCCTTGATACAATTTTCTCCATAATCCATAACTGCATCTTTTGGGTTATTAAATAATAAATCAATGCCATACCCGTAGTTCCATTTTATGCCATGGTTGTTTTTTGGGATTGATACTATAAATTTTATTTTTTCGGGCCATTTCAACATAGGCTTCATGTCCTTGTCGGAAGTAGTAAACCTAAAAAGTAAACAAAATCGCAATTTTAAAACCTGGATGTATTTCCTTGAACCCTAGATACGAAGTATCCACTAAAACCGCAAAGAAAAACCGCATTAGAGAATCTAATGCCCTTTGAGCTAACAGAAATTCTGACATTGATTTTGACTTTTTTTCCCCCTTCCACTCCTCAAGTTGTCCTAATATCACTTAATCACAATCAAAGTGTTCTATATATAACAACATTACTTTGGGTATATACTTGAAAGTTAGTACATAAATGAGCAGCTATTTTTTGGTTTTACCATTTTATTCCTGGATTCAAAATAAGTTAGTCTATGTTGCATGATAAAGTCAATTGTAACTAGGAGTCATAAGTTCACCTACTTTGCGTTCTTACTTTTTTTGGTTTGTACATATGCAGAAATGTTTAAAATGAAAAATGTATTTTCACATACATTTTGTGAAATCCTTACACAAATCTTTACACAAATCCTAATAAGTCAAAACTGCATTTATATTTATCTTTATTTCATGAAGATCGTATTTAAGTGACTCCTGAATACTGTCTTACAGAACTAGTACTTGAACACAATAGTCTGAAACCAAATATTTTTACCATTACTACGAAAGAAAAGAAAAGAAAAGAAGAAAAGAAAAGAAAAGAAAAAAAAGAAAGGAAAAGAAAAGAAAAGAAAGGAGGGAGGGAGGGAGGAAGGAAGGAAGGAAAGAAGGAAGGAAGGAACCAAAGAACTTGTTTAAAAATGCTATTAAGATCTTAGTGACATTTTGGGATAGCTAATGTCCTCCATACTTTCATTGTATTCATTAATATCATTATTGCTCCAGTTGCCTGGAACTTCAAATGAAGGAATGCTGCTGAATAATGAGGACTTATCTGTTCAAGCACCAGTGACTAAAAACATAACTTAAACATACTGAAAGGAAATCATTCAACAAGGAACATAAACTTTCTGGCCATTTTGAAAAAATATATTAAATATAATTATAATTATATTTATCCATCTCTAATTATCCCACCTCCACCCACAAAAATACATCTTTCCATGCTTCTAATAAAAGAACTGAATTTTGCACTATGATTGCTTATGGTTTAAAAAAGTATCTGCCCTGATGGCTTCAGAGATAACCAACATCTGGGTTA